ATCTAGCAGGGATGAGGAACCTCTTGTTAGTTACCAAGGCGTTCCATACTGCTGGCAATCATTCAGTATTTATGTTTATTGCATTTCAGTTAATGGATTTTTATAAATATATTTTAAAAGCCTAATGCTTACAATAAACTATTTTAATTAGTAAGTTATAAATAATTTAGATTAGATTATATAAACTATAGAATAAATTCAACAGAATGAGAAAAAAAATTAAAACAGCAGATTTTGCAACTCTTCAAAACAAGGATCAGTGAAGTTTCTTGTGATCTTGGTATCTTTTGTACAAAACTACGGAGTTGATCATTTGGGAATTCTGTTCCTGTGTCTCAAGGGCAATCTTTGAGAAGGATATGTCATGATTTCTTAAAATTAATTTCAAAGCATTTAGATCTGCCTTTCATATTTCTGTATTGCTAGCTCAGTAGACATCTCGGGATGGGCTTTTTTCTAGCTTTATGAAATTAGAGGAATTGTTTAGAATCAGAAGAGTTAGTTTCTGTTCTTTAATTTTCAGAATTAAAAATTCTTTGTTGTTTACATTTTCTTTGAATGCACATAAATGAAATTGTAACTAATTCTAAAAAAGATGAAAATTCTCTTTTCATAATTAGCTGTATGGTTTCTGAAGCTGCAAATTTAAACAAATTACTGCAGTATTTCCTTCACTGAGTCCTTAATAGTACAGTTTAACTAATAGCATTGTTAACTCCTTTAATAGTTGATCATTGTAAGCAATAGCAGTATGATGAACATTGCTTTTTTAACAGAGTAATATTATTTGAAGTATTGATTAGGACATGGTTATAATCTCTTTGGAAGAGAAGAAACAAGTCAGTTGCCTTTCTTAGTCCTGCTTCTAATTTTCAAAAACTGACGTGGGTCTATTACCTGTATAAATGCTAGAAGTTCTGTCTAAATTGAAAATCTTTAGGAATTTATTGTCATTACAATAAACCTAAATTGGAGAATGTTTAAATATGGAAATCATTGCACAAAGTCATTAGTTATTATCACAAACGCACTTAGTATGTATATTTTATATTCCTTTGATCTTTTATTTGTCAGTATTACAAAAATATTGTAGTATTCTAGTATAATATACCGTCAAACTTCTGATAACACTAATTTTCCCATGGTGTAGCAGTCATGTTTAATTATATTGACAGTATCAGTGGAAATTATTTTTTAAGCATGTTTTTAATCTAGGATTTAAAGAATTAAGCACCACTATGATAATTATTAAGATTTTAGATAAAGATTAATGGGTAAAGGACAAAAACGTCCTTGTATTTAGTTTTCTAGACTAAACATGAGCAAAGGATAATGGGCACTGAAGAGACCATTCTTGTAAGCAGTGCATTTAGTGTTTTGAGCAAGGCGGATGGTATCCAGAGAGGGTTCAAAGAGCTTTTTGTAGGCTGAAATGAAAGGTTAATTAAAACAAAGCAAACTCAAAAAACTAAGCTCAATAATCTTGTTTTTACTTACCTAGCACAGCTGTAAGTTATAAGGAGTTTCAGTGAAATGTTTTTCATCTCTAAAAATTCTTTTCTTCTAAGCTATTCCTGGGTAGAGTTGCTTTTCTTTATTGTTCTAGTAATGTGATGGTCAGATATGGGATACGGGGAATTCAGGGAACTTTAGAATATAGGGAGTGCTTGCATTATACCTCTTGTAGTAAGTATTCTCTTTTCTTGTTTATATAGATTCTGAATGGATACAGCTATCTTCATTTCTGCTCTTGGTAATGTTCTCAAGCTTAAGTTTTGCCTTTATAACTAACTGCTGGTTTTAAGGCATTCCCAGTTCAAAAAAGTTCTGATTAATTCAAATTCCAAATTAATCTATTTCTTGGTTGGCATGAAGGTCATTTTATTTCCAGGAAGTGGTGAATGTACTTCTTGAGATTCAGTGGATCAAAATCTCATTGTCTGAATGCTTCTCATGCTTACTGTCATTCACAGTGATTCTTATTAGTCCTGAAGTATTTTATCCCAGCCTCATCACCTATAGTTCTAACATATTGCTAGTGAGAGATGTCTCTCCTCAATTCCAGAGCAGCATTTTTTCCTAGTAGTATTGGGCTGAATTCTGATCTTCAGACAACGTAAAGAAGCCTCATATCCCCAGGGCTGGTTCTCATAGAACCTTGAATCATCCTGATACCTGATGAAAGGACAGTACAGAAGAGCTCAAACAACCAAGGAGATCTTTTGAGTGCATTGATGATAGCAGCTGTCCTAGTTGATGGTGGACCAACAAGGAAAGGTGCTTTGCTGGACCTGGTGATTATGAAGAATAAAGAACTGGTCAGGGATATGAAAGTTCAAGAAAGTCTTGGCTATAGTGACTGTGAGATGATGGAGGTCAGGATCCTAAGGGCTGGAAGCAGGGGGAAAAAGCAGGACTAGAACACTGCGTTTCAGGAAAGCAGACCTCATCCTCTTCAGAGCTCTGCTTGGAAGAATCACAGGGATTATGACCTTGAAGAGAAGAGGGGTCTAGGAGAGCTGGATGATAGTCTGTAATCACTCCTTCCAAATTTAGCAAAGGACCACCCCAATAAGCAAGAAATCAAGCAAAGATGGTAGACAGGGATGAGCAATGATGTCCTAAAACTGAACTCCAACATAAAAAGGAAGTGTACAAAAGGTGTAGGAGGGACAAGTCACCCAGAAGTATAGATGTCCTGTCCAGTCTTGCAGAGGTGGGGCTAGGAAAACAAAAGCTGGAGAGGGATATAAAGGGCATATCTTTATATCTATAAACAAAAGAGTCTAACAAATATAACAAAAGATATATAGATAGATATAACAAAAGATTCTAAAAGTACATAAACAGCAAAAAAGACTAGGGAAAAAGTGGGCCTGCTACTGACTGGGGTGAGAGAGCTTGTGACAAATTATTTGGAAAAGTCCAAGATGCTTAATGCTGCCTTTGTCTCAGTCTATACCAGTAACAATGGCTTTCAGGAATCCCAGGCCCCTGCAGCCAGAGAAAAAGTCTGGTGTAAGGAGGATTTGTGCTTGGTGGGAGGAGAGCCAGGTTAGGGAGCAGTTAAATGAACTAGTCATATGTAAGTTTGTAAGGTCTGATGTGTTGCACCTGTGAGTGCTGATGGAGCTGCCTGATGCCATTGTGGGATGACTTGATTATTTTGAAATTATCATGGCTATTGGGAAAGCAGATACAGTCATGTCCTCAGGAATAGCAAGAAGAAAGCTCTGGGGAATTTCAGGCTTTTTGACTTCAGCCACAATCCCTTGGGAGATGATAGAAGAAATCCTCCAGCAAAGGACTTATAAAATCATGAAGAGCAAAAAGCTGATCATGAGTAGTCAGTATGGATTTACGAAGTAGTTTACTCATGATTGAGCAACCCTGGCAGCCATTTGCCATTGCTAGACAAGTAGTAGGCATTGCATTGGATGCGTCAACTTTGTAAAGCCTTTGATACTTAACTCCCATAATGCAAGCTGTCAAAATGTGGTTTAGGTAAAGAGACAGTGAGTTGGATGCAAACTAGCTGAATGACTAAGCCTAAGTTGGAATCAGTGTCACAAAGTCAAGTTGGAAGCAAGACACTAGAGGTGTACCTAGAGATCTGTACTGGGACAAATTTTTTTTTATGTCTTCTTTAATGATCTGGATGATTGGATGGAGTATACCTGCAGGAATTCCATGGCTGATGCAAACATGGGAGGAATGACTGGTACATGAATGGTTGGGCTGCCACTCAGAGGGACCTCAACAGACTGAAGAATTCTCATGAAGCTGAAAAAGGCGAAAGGCAGAGCCCTGCATATACAAATATAACTCTTTTTTTACTGAGTTGTAAAGCAGCTGGCAGAGAAGGACCTTGGGGTGCTGGTGGGCAAAAAGCTCAACATGAGTGATGCCCACTTGCAGTAAAAAGGGCCAGCTGCATCAGTAACAGTGCTGCCAGTGGTCATGGGTGATGGTCCTATCTGGAATGCTGTCTCCAGTTTCCCAGAACAATAGAGACATGAGTCTATTTGAGTTAGTCCAGTTCAGGACCACAAAGATGATTAAAGGACTCTCCTGTGAGTAGAGACTGAGTCAGCTGAGACTATTCAGCCAGAGAAGAGAAGACTCAGGGAGGGGATGTGTACCAATCAAGAATGGAAGGGAAAGAAGATGAGGTAGCTGTGGTCTTCCCAGTAGTGCCCACTGGTAGGACAAGAGATAATGGTGTAAATGCAAACATATGAAATTTCATCTGAACACAGGAAAAATACTTTGTTGTGAGGGTGGTCAAACATTGGAATGGGTTGCCCACAGGGATTTTGGAGTCTCCATTTGTGGAGATACTCAAAACCCAGCTGGACCTGGCCTTGGGCAGCATGCTGTACCTGACCCTGTATGTGAGCAGGGTGGCTGCACCAGACAAGCTCAGTAAGTTCTTTCCAGACTAAATGACTCTCCAACTCTTAAATCAAAGCTGTAGCATCCCGTGTAATGACTGTGTTTGCAAAGTAAAGTTTGGCCAAGCTTAGCTCTTGTGATTTTTCTTTTTTAATTTGTTTTGGAGTCTGCAGGTAGTGATTTGAGTTCTGTTACAGAAAATTTCCTTGTAATGTCACTAATAAGAATTTCAAGGGGCAGATTTTTGATTAAGAAATTGTCACTATGTGTATCTGTCTTACTGAAAAGGTCTTCAAAAATGAAGTCATAACTTCTCTAGATATTCCAGTGAACACTGCTGTTTCAGCCTACCACTTGTATATAATGCAGCAGATCTGAGCACAGCCCCAGCAGTTTCTCTGACAGTGCCTGGGAGGCCAAGCTAGGAAGCTGCTGTATCATACAAACAGATTCAATTTAATTTCACAAAAGTTGGAAATCAATGATTATAGGTTTTAATTGGTTTTGTATATTTAGGCTATGCTAATTTAATTTGTAGTTGCAGTTTCTTTTGTGACCATATGTTGTGTATAGAACCAATATTCATATTTCTTGTTAATTTACAGGATGGAGGTCTGCTCCTAAATAATCCTTCTGCGCTGGCAGTTCATGAGTGCAAGTGTCTCTGGCCCAATGTTCCGTTGCAGTGTCTGATTTCACTGGGCACTGGTCGATATGAAAGTGAGGTGAAGACCAATGTCACACACACCAGTCTGAAAGCCAAACTGACGAATGTTATCAACAGTGCAACTGATACAGAAGGTTGGTGTCTTAAGATATGCTTGTACTGTGACTGTCTTCAATTTTATTTTTGTTTCTTAGAATGGTAGTTCCAATTCAGAGAACAATCTTCAACCTTTGGTCTTTCCTCTTCTCCTCTCTACCAGCCCCATGAAACTGAATTGAAGCATCTGTCTTTGTAACTTACTGTGTATAGTTTTAGTACCAGTATTATGTGTTTTCTGGAGGATAAATCTTTTTACTTGAGCTTTAGGATAAAATACCTATTCAGGTATTCATTTAAAAATCCTATTTTCTTATATTTTATTTGTTTTTCTCATAACGCAGAAATGCTTAGTAGTTAATATAAAACATTGATTTTCAACAGCTTGAGAAAAAGTATTTGATTTCTGATCTTTTTTATATATGCTTTTATACTAGTTCTTTTCCAAGGATTATACTGTGTCTTCCAGTCCTGATGACTTCCACTGCTGTCAGGAAGAGCCAAGCATCTGTTCTCTAAAATAAATTTGGTTCCTAGATGGAAAAACATTGAGACTCAGTCACTAGCAGTTTACTTCTGTTTTATTTTTGTAAACAGGAAATATTGATACACAGATAATTTCCCCCTCCCATTACAAGGAAACGGATACTGCAAAAAGGCAGGGAACAAGAAATGCTATTATGGTCTAAATCCCTTGCTGTAGAGTTTCTGCCAGCTGACTGTCACTAGTAGAAAAAAACTAGATTTTGCATTGCCTTTTGGTTTTTGCACAGCTGTGGAAAGGCAGTAGGAATAGTGGGAAGGGGATATGTGCTGTCCACTTTCTATCAGAAAGTTTCATTGCAACTGAAAAATGAGGCAGGAAATTTGAAGGGAAGGGGAAGAAAGGAAAGTTAATTGTGGAGACCAAAGGAAAATAAATGAAAGAGATGAGAGTAGATTTGAGCAAATAGGAACTTGTATTACAAAGGAAAAAAGAGAGAGTATTAAATAGGGCAAGAAAGACTGGTTGTGGTGAGACAAGAACAGACATAGCTGAGTAATTTGCAGGAGGAGAGGCCAAGCCAAGATTATTTAAGATTTACAAGAATCTTTTGCTTTGATCTTATACCTGATATTTTTTTTTGCACTAAAAACTTTTTATATGACAATGGATATTTGAAAGAATGGAGGAACATAGTAAGAATACAAAGAAGATAGAATGAATGCTGAAGGAAGTGATAGAAATGGAATTTTAAGTGAGCCAACAAAAAGGATCTAAAGGGAGAAAGAAACAGGTTATAAAAAAGAACATATAAATGTTACATAGTTTTTTATTTTACTAGTTAACTGAAGTAGCATAATTTAACTCAAATATTTTAAATTAAATGCATGTTAAATTCAAGCCTCAAATCTGTAGTAATATATTGAAAAAGTATTAATAGTTGTAAACAAAATAAAGCTTTAATTCTACAGTTTTTTTATTTTGAAATTGCAGAAGAACATACCGGTTGTTTTCATAATACCTACTTCTGTTAGTACCAAGTGTAACAAATCACAGGTATCCTGAAATAGGAATACAGAGGTTACATTCCTGCTCTTCAGGATATGCCCTTACTTGTTAAGGAATGGAATGTAATTAAAAATCTAGATAGCTGCAAAGCTTACTTGTCATACCAGTGAGGTTGTCTTGGAATAAAAGATTAATCTTTTCCAGAGTAAACAGAGCTACAGGGTCATTGACAAGTCTTCTAATGAGAAAGGGGTTTCGATGCGGCAGTGGTAGAAAAATGTTTACTCAGCAAAGCAGCACATATTTACTCTTACTGTGTCATTCCAGAGCAGTTGAGGTTCAGATCACTTGCAGGACTGTTCAACTCTCTCATGTGAATTTGTTTTCTTCATTTGTTTTCAATACAGAAGTTCACACCATGCTGGATGCACTGTTACCTCCAGATACTTATTTCAGATTTAACCCTCTGATGAATGAAGACATTCCTCTGGATGAAAGCCGTAAAGAGAAACTCAATCAGCTGCAGACAGATGGAATTCGTTATTTAGAACGAAATGAAGAAAAACTGAGAAAAGCTGCAAAAATATTAACACAAGAAAAATCACCTTTGCAGAGGTTTCAGGACTGGTTAAGACTAAAGGCTGACATGTATGAAGGCTTGCCATTTACTTCCAAATTGTGAATAAGTAATGCATGAAAGATAAATTTAAATCTTGTTCCAGAAGATCCATTTGGTACTGTAAAGGAAGAACGTTGATTCAGGGTAAATAGCATCTTTGGAAAGCTATTAGAATTCTGGAGAAAGCCATTCAGGATGGCTCTTTTGTGCACACTGGTTACAAGGTTTTATGGTGTTAATTATTTTTGGAACTTAAAAGAATCTTACTGTTGCTCTACCTTAATATCTAAAGTTAAAGTTTTCAGGTAAAACTGAAAATTATGGCAACAATTGTGCAATTCATTTTTGGATGTATGTGCTATGATTGTGACAGAAAACCTTTATTTATCAACTATGAGGTTTATTCAAAGTTAACAAAAAAAAGATCCTCATTCATTTTAGTGTAGGCACTATAACTGTTAGGCTCTTATGTAGGCAGTGAATTTAATAGAAATGTAATATTCTTGCAAAAACTCTGCCTGTGTTAATTGCACTTTTACATCTGAAAGATAACATTTAAATTTATTTTTTTTTATTTTAGTGGATTTTGTACATAACAGTATTGAGTAAAATGTCTGGATGACTGTAAATGGCCTATTAAATTATCAACATTAACTGGTATTTTTAGAACTTTCTGCTTATTGTTTTTATGGGAATAACTTCAGATTGCTTAACTCATTATTTAAAAGTAATCCCAAGCCCCAATACTTAACCTGAGCAGCTATTCCAGTTACAGGATAAAGGAAATAAAATACTGAAATAGTTTATATGAATGAGAAAGTTTCTTAGAGAAACTTAAGTTTCAGGTGCCAGACTTGAGGTGTAGTTGTAGTCAAGAAGAAAATTAGAAGTTGCAACATCAAATTATATGTTTCCTTTTGTCTTCCAGTTTTCATAAATGCATTCTCCTGAAATTATGTCAGGGCTGTGAAGTTAATGTTTAGAACTTAGTCCAGTCCTATTGCCCATTCCGTCAGGCATACTTCCTGCATATGCCATGAGGGATGCTGTGAGCTGTGACAACCCAGTGTCTCAAACAGCATTTTCAACAACAGGGAGGTACGTGGGAGTTCTTCAAAATAGGGCGGCAAAATTTGAGGTAGACACAGCTGCTGTCACATGTTGGCACGTACCTGTTAATTTGCGTGGGAGAATGTTTGTCTTGTAGTAGACAGCTACAGTGCATGAGAATATTGATAAAGTGTAAGTTCTTGCAGTAGCTAAAGCATCCAGTTTCACCAAAATCAATGCATTTGTCACTTTGCTGTTTGGAACTAATCATCTGCCATTGCATTATCTACTAAAAATAACATTTATTATGATAGTCACCTTTTTTACTTGTTTTAAAACATTGAAAATGTTATTAGGCTGCAGTTCAAAAAGGAACTATGAGGCAGACAGCTGAGATCGTTGGAGATGCTACATCGTATTCTTGACTGTGCAAGAAAACATTTGATTGGGATGTTCTTTTTTGTTCTTAATTTGATATATTTTTAATTTTGACGAAGAACTGAGTAGAATAATAATGAGATCAAACCTTTCTCATAGGTGTGAGGTGATTTAAGCATGTAAAAAAGAAACATCAGCATTATTCTGATTGAGGTACTTTTTACACGGTTAAACCATATTGCGCCATAAGTCAAAACAAACAGTACCAGGTAGTCTCATGTAATAACACACATTGCACACTTCTCTGGCAAAGAGCAAAGTCACAGCATCATCCATGAGAAATCAAAGGCATTATTCTGAATTCATAAATTTCAAGTCACAGTCTTTTGGGGCAAGGATTATCTAAGGAAACACGTAACTTTAGTGAACAAAGTGATAACATTTCCATTTGATTTTTTATATCAATAAAACCTCATGTTCTGGGGATTTTATTTCAAATAGGGTAAGATCTGAATTCATGACAATACTGTTTTTGCTGGAAGCTGCTGTCTTATCTTCATTCACCCCTTTTTCCCCTACATGTTATTGCTATTGCAATATTTTCCTAAGTCTGGCTTTTAAAAGTGCATATGGAGTTGAGTTGAGCTATAGAGTAATTAATTCAGACTTTTTTAGACCTCTGTGTACATAAATTCACAAGGTGCTTGTATTGAATGCCTTCAAATTAACTTGCAAGTGCTGTATTGTCATCAGGCACTAATGAGGAGTTTGTTCTCCTCTCAACTATTTTAAAAGGTGGAGATGAAATGGGTATTTCACTTGAGCTGTAATTAGTTTTTAGTTACTTCAAAAAAAAATTAGCAATTTGCCAGAAATCCTCACTGCTATGGGTGTGTTCCTAAGCACTCTATATAAAGTAAAATTATTTTCAGGAAGTTTGAGGCATTGGCTGTAGAATACTGCATGATACTTTACCGGCAGAAAATGGAATAAGAACTGTAGCAGAATGAGATCTCACTAAATCAGGAAATAGAATCTTAAATTAAAGGGGTTTATTGATAGGGAGCAGGGGAACTAGCACTGGGTCCAATATAAGCAGGTTTTAACTGATCATTGTGATGGACTGAAGAACATGATAATTCTCTTCAGACATGAATACAGGAGGGATCATGAGTATTTTGAGCAATATGATTTCAGTGCAGATTTGAGAAAAGAACAGACTAGAATGAGAAACGTGCCTCTGAATAAAAATATTAACAAAGGGAAAAGGAATAATCTACTGCAGAACATCATGTTAAAGGAATCCTGCTTTGAAAAAGTACGCTTGGGAATGCTGTGGGGCTATCCAGTTAAAAAACTGAAATTGACTCAGTGGTCACAGCTACTAAAATAACTATATCACTGCACCAGAGAATTCCCCAGCCAGGAAAATGTGAGCAAACCTGAAAAAATTGGATGAGTGTGAGGTTTGAATCTAGAATAAGCAATCACAAGAAGACAGTAAGTAGATAAACATTCTAGGTAACTTTTGCATTCAGAGACAGCTACAAGGTTTATTTGACCAGATGAGTGTTGCCATTTGAAAATGTGCTTGTTTCCTGGAAATAAAATCAGGAACTTTATTGGTGTCTGTGCCCAAAGCAATGGGGATGATTTTAAAGATGATCTTTAAGGTCTCTTCTAACCCAAGCTTTTCTATGGTTCTGTGATGAGTTTAGGCTTTAGTTGAGAAGGTGTAAATGTCAAATTTGCAAAATTGACAAAATGTCTTTGGTCTGATTTTGAAAGGCAGAAGGAAAGAGTCCAGACTAGGAAATTAAAAGGATTAGTCATAAAGTAATCTCCCTTTATGCAAAGTCAGAAAGAGAAAAGTCTCTTAGGTTTTCTTAGATGCCCTCTTAGGTCACCTCTTAGTTTCTAATTATCTGTGTAGAAGGAGATGTTAACTGAAGGAGCTTTCATTACCAAAGGAAAGAAAATAAAACTTTTAAATGTTGAAGTGTAATCACTTTAAGATACTTCCTGTCAGTGTCCATTCCAGAAGTGAAATGAAGATACTGATTCTATTGCACAAGCTGCAGGCAGCCACAGTTGACTATAATTGTAGTTTTGGTCAGTGCTTTAGGGAAAGAGATATTCAGACTAAAACAGATGCAAAGAAAGGCTGCCAAGGGAAGGAGAGTGTGGTTTGTTTCATCCAACAAAACAAGGGCTAGAAGGAGGGAACCTGCTGTTGTTTAAAAATACTTCAAGAAGGAAACGATAGTAGGCTAAGGGACAACACTTACATAATACCAAAAACGCTCAGACTTAGAGAGTAAATTTAACCAAAAAGTAAAAGGTGCTAAACCCCTGAGGAGCAAGGTTACAGAATGGCTACACAGAATTAAAAGAGCAAAAGAAACTAATTTAACGTAAATTTTAGAAATCGACCTCCTGAATGGGGTTCTGTAATGCATTGTGCCAACTGAATCCCTTAAACCTATGCGGCAGGTGAGAACTCATTAACCCCTCATATACAGCAGAATCCATAGACTTGTGGAAATGTCTGACAGCTTCTTCTGTTTAGTTCTAATAGATCATTAGATCCATTAAATTTCATTTATTTTGCTTTTCTTGCTGAGCTCGTAAAGAGAGCTGATAAAGGTTGAAGTAATACAAGACACATAATAGGTGAAATCTGGTACGTACTTACTGTATTGGTCACATTAATTTTTCATCAGAGATTAAAGTACTTCTATTCTGCTGGGTCAACAAACAGTGCTGGTTTTCTTCCATTACAAGATTGTTCTCAGAATGATGGGGATTAAATACAAACATAATCTATTGCAGAGGAGGATGTGTTAAGGCCTTCTCTTTCAGCTTAAAGACCGCACCCCAGGCCAGCTGTGATACAAACCCACAGACTTTTACATTCAAGTACATAAGGCAAGACAGAAAACCCAGTTGTTTGGGTTTTTCACACTGTTGCTTAAACAGTGAGTCAAATTTTCAGACCTTGCAGAACTGTTCTGTTTGAAGCACAGTTTGCTGCTAGAAGTAAGAGATATTCTTGGTCCAATCATACTCATTTACAAAGAAAAATAAGCATGCCAAATGCTTCTTCCTCAGACTCTGCAGGAACAAGATGAGTAGGCTCTTTCCTTCCTCCAGCTGCGCAGCACTGAGGTGTAAACTCAAGGAGGTGCTGCCCCCCAATTCCCCTGCTCTCTGCTCAGCCTCCTCATTCCCATTCCTGCAGTTGTGTCTGCTCTTGGTACGTGCCCGTTAATTCCAGTGTGCTGATGGCCTTCAGTGTTTGCAGATACTCATAATTTAAATTGTTCTTTCTTTAAGATTAAACAAGAACAATTCTATTATTTATTTTAATAAAGTTGGCAGTTTTCAGTAAGGGGGAACCATTAGCAATTTTCAGTATACTGTAAAAATTAGACAAGCACTGAAATCCTGTATTACTTATATCCCTGGTAATGCATGTTTAATTTATGGAAACAGTTTAATTTTGCTTTTTATTTATTCTTTCATTTTATTTATTGTTTTCTCATATCAATAGCATTAACAGCTATTTCCCCATATAGTTGCGATAGCATAAAAAGTACACAGGAGCATTTTGATATCTTTACTTTCCAGGAGAAAACTGTAATACAAGATTTTTATGTAAAACCACAGAGACAAACTGGAAAGGTAACTAATATCTTTGAAGTGCAATGCTGAGTTCAGCAAAGTTATGCTGTTAGCATTTAAAAGCTCTTTTTTTTTTATTTTTAAAGACCTTGGAAACCGGAAAGGGAACAAATTTTTGTTCTTACACCATTATTTTCTAATTGAATTATGTAATAATCATGACACTAATACCACAGGGAAATGGTCTTCTAGGATGTCTAAAAATTTGGATAGCAAATCCTGAAAAGTAATTCCGTAAAAATTTGGCCTGTCTCCAGGGCATCATTTCAACAAAAGGTGCTGTTCCATGCTTCCTCATTGGCTGCTCTGTGGGAACCAGAAATATGGTCCTGTCATTTTGTAAACCTCATTTGAATGCATTTTCAGGCAAGAGAGACAGGAAGTCAGAAAACTTTTAACAATGGGACAACAGAACCTATATTGCTAAGAAAAAAGAAGCAGAAATGTTGGAGAGTTTACAAGCTGAGTATTGAATATCTATATTCTATATTCTATATCTATATTCTATCCTACAAGGAAGGGTAGGTATTTTAGGTACTGTTTAATAT